CCCACTTTGTGATCGGAGCTTTTTAATTAGCGGGTAAATAATTAAACACTCAGCGAACTTTTTTTGTTCTCGTGTAAAGCGTGTGCAGGTATCCAAGTAATTATGTTAGCGCTCTAACAAGTTTGTTGTTACGTGTCAATTTTGTTCCGAAGACGAAGACTAGATCGGGAACGGCTCTTCATCCTCATGCATCGTTCGAAAGATTCACGGGTTGTTTGGACTCACCTCGCGATTGTGGAAGCGAGAGGTTAAATTTTATGGTCCGGTCGAATCCGAATCTAAACTTGTTTGCGTTTTAATGTTCTCGGATCAGGGGAGGACAGCATTAGAAGGTGCTCGGCTCTAAAACGGTTACTTTCTTCACCCTTTTTTTTTAGTGCGGATTTAAATGTGAGATCTCAATTAGAGGACTGATAACTGACGAAACACATCCGCGATGATCTATCATCGACTTGATCGGATGACTCATGTTTCATTCAACGGATCAGTTGCGCTGGTCATAGGATTGTGCTTGTTTTTATCGTCGAGTCTTACAGAAAAGCGAAACATGACGTGACTCATTATGTTGGCAATTTTTCTCAGCTGTGGTTCCGAGGGTACATGTTTCATGGTTAGTTTTTAAAGGATAATACTTGACAAAGTACAGAACTTTCCAACTATTCGGATTTTTTGCAAAATAGAAATGTCTACATACAAATAAGGGGGCTCTTTCTTGTCTTTTTTTGTGCAAAAAACATAAAAGTAGTTTTTACAGGTACATTATCATTTTTATGATAAAAAATCTCAAGTTACTAAAAAGTCCATACTTGAAAATGGCCGTAACTTGGTGAGTTGTCCGAAGATTTAAAAATCCTCTATGGTGCACATTAATGAAGCTCTGTAGAACGATGATCATCAAGTTTTCTTACTATATTAAAAAAGGTCTCTCTTGACTTCTTTCAGTTTTCGGCCGTTCCAGAGAAATTGGATCAAGGGACTTGTTCACTGTTAGAAACGAGGCCTTAGTGAGTGGTTATTTTTTTTTAGAAATTATTGCTCTCTTCGATAGCACAGAAGAGTGGTTATCAAATAGCCTTGATCGATACATCACTATCCAAGCAATGCCGTTTATCTATCGAGGTCATTCGATAACTCTTTAACAATCAGCCGCTGCGTTATTTTAAATAGGCCCAGCGCATGCGCCAAGACTAGGTGATGCGCGGACTCCCTGTATAGTCACGGTGTGCCGCAAGCCGCAAAGTGCGCAAGAACCCCAGCGTTGCTAGTTTGAAGATGAAGTTTGGGATCGGGAGATTAATATTTGAAGGAAATTTTCAACACAACTGGCAACGCTGTGAGTATCGCGTACTACGACGCGCTGTGGGTAAGCTTGAGATTCGAGGTCTGCGGTAGGAATTTAAATTCCACGTTTAAAAGTTATAAATTGCTTACAGTCAGATCAGAATTGTGTCGAATGCTGAAAAAACTCATCAATTCGCAAGGAAGTTTCTAAATTTTCTGAACAATTTTTCTGTGATTAGCAGCTGAATTTTTTTTTAGGAAGTTTTTCACCACGACAAAAGCAGCATTAATTTTAAGTCGGTGAGTCTCTTTTGCCGAAAAAAAAAAAACGTACGGTAAGTTTTAAAGTAAGTCTAGCAAGAGAGACTCGAGGTTGAAAAATTGCTGCGCAGAAATTTTCAACTGAAAAGTCGAATTGTCGCGAGCTATTAACAGAACGGACGAATTCTAAAACGCCTTCAATTATTCGTATATGCAACGCGGACGTCCTGAGAGCACGAATAGTTGTATCTCGCGTGAACCGTCACGGCGCACGGCCATGGAGCGTGGTGGATTTGATGGCTGAGATGCAAACACTAACTTTTAACCCCTCGCTTTCTCTTTTCCCTTTTCCTCGTCGCATTGAAGTTTCCGGGACGAGACACCTACTTTTTCGATCCCTTTTTTTTCCACAGGAATTTTATTGGATTAAAATTTCGAAAAAATTTTGACAGAACTTCGTCTGAAGACATTCATAAACAACTGTCCATCTTACGATTCAACGACGAAACGATGCATGCGATAGATACAATTGATTTCTGTGACGAAAAAGAATATTAACCGGGAAAGCTTATCTCATCTTTAAGTCTAGATCTGAAAACGAACTAAGAGGATAAAGATAAACTTACTACGCCCAACCCTATAGACGTTTTGCTCCCGGATATAGGTGATAAGTTTCGATTAAGTTTACGTATAAATTACGTAAAATCTGGCAACACTGAATGAGTGAGCGCAGCGTGGTCGGTCGGTATCAAATATCAATTTCACCGGCAAGATTTATTACTCATGCAAAATAATTAATGCTCGGACAATTATAAAGTCAACTTGCGCAGTTGCAGTAGCGCAAAGTATGGAAAGTTAGTTCCAAGATGTGTTTATCTTTAGTTGTGTTGCCGTCTTGATTGTGTAGCATGGCTTTGGAGAGGTTCTCTATGCACACCTTCCCACTAAAATCGAAGTGCTCGACAGATCGAAAACCTTACGAGAAAGCTATGATTCCACAGAACATTTCGGAAAACGGTCGATAGCCATGAGATCCAGACACAAACTCGCAAGAGTGCACCGCGGCACCCCCGTGACGGCCCTAAATCCCAATAGACTGATTTAGTGGCTACTTCATGGCTCAAATGTAAACAAATACATGACCTTCTTTCTGATTCGCACCCTTCGTGCCTTAGATAAAATGCGTCCAAGTGTTTTAGGCCATCGAAATTTATCGTGTTTAATGAGTCCTCAATGGAGATGTTGCATGTGTGAGAAATTTGCGATTTGACGGTTAAATCTTATGTAAAAAATCGCGAGAAACACGATGGTGCCACTGGTTTTCTCTGAAATCAACTCCCAAGCTCAAAAAAAGCTCTCAAGTTGAGGCTAAAATGGAGGGGATATCCCACGCTATCCTGAGAGTCCACGTCTACATCAAGACAAACTCTCCATGCAAAGATAGGGAGCAAATACATTAGCAGTGATGCCGTGTTTTCAGTTTTGGAGTCCCCAAATAAAGTGGCAGCCCTGTCAATGTATTTGCTCCCTACCTTTGCATGGAGAGTTTGTCTTGATGTAGATGTGGACTCTCAGGATAGCGTGGGATATCCCCTCCATTTTGGATTTTTGGCCTCAACTTGAGAACTTTTTTTGAGCTTGGGAGTCGATTTCAGAGAAAACCAGTGGCACCATCGTGTTTCTCGCGAACTTTTACAACAGAATCAACAGTCAAATCGCACATTCCTCACACATGCAACATCTCCATTGATTTATGATCTGACGGTGACTAAATTGTAATAAATTAGCACGATTAACTCCCATGGAATTGAGACATGAGCCTCTGAATATATTCTGATTTGAACCACCGAGTTCAATATTGTATCGAATGACGTAGTCACTGAATCAGTCCACTTATTACTATTAATGGGTGCACTGATTCGGAGGCTGTGGCGCGCGGTTCGGCAACCGCGCGCTCTCGCGCTGGAAATATGCGATCTTGTAAAAAACGGAGCATTTTATTATATGAGCGCGAGATAATTTAAAATAAATCTCGCGGCGCGTCGCATCGGACGTCGGGGTCGGGTCGGTTGCCGTCCAACC